TTTTTAAACGCCACAACTTTTATCTGAAACATTTTTTTCTAAAATGCTTAGTTTTCGAGATATTTCACCGGTCCGGGACTTTTTGAACACCCTGTATATATATATATATACATATATAAGTAAAGTAAAGTATAGCAAATAATAAACAAAGAATAATGAATGTAACGGCAAGACAAAAAGAAATATTAATAAATAATTTGAAAAGTCATGCGGAATTAGTGGGGAGGTCGAGTAAACCGAAAAAATGAGAGTAAAAGAAAATTGGTAAATTAAAATAATTGCTGCTTATGTATAAATATGTATATGTGTGATAGAAATAATATTTTATTTAATAAATAACACTTTAATATGTTTAGAATGATATGTGGAATAAAATTGCTGAACATATTAATGCAAGTAACGAAGGCCCTCAAAAAAGTGGACAAGAATGGGCGAAAGTTAATATTTCCTTCCACTGAGTATCCAGGTTAAATACAAAGGTTAAATTATTATTAATCTTAAAAATAATAGCTAATTATCGACAATTTTTTCAGACATGGAAAGCTATGAAGTCATGTATTATATTTTGAAAAAAGAAGCAAGACGACGTAGTTATATACAAGGGACAGAAGGTGGACCTCCTCCTCAAATATTTCTCTCTAGTTTTGAAGAGGAAGTTTTGGAATTTTTAACACCAGAAGCAGCTGGATTGCAAAACATCCCAGAAGGTGGAATAATTGAGACAGCAGAAGAGACGCAGACTTTATCAGAATGTTGTTCAACATCTCAAATTAATCAGTTTACATCTCATGACAAAGTAATAGAAAAACAGAATATATTGCCACATGTAGAAATTGATGATAATATTGAAAATACACCACCAAATATTACTAAAAGGAAAAAAAATGTTAACATACCAGAAAATAATACAAGAAAAGGTAACTTAAATGAAAAGCATATTATATATATTATAATAAATTATCTAATATATTATTTAATAACATTTTTTTAATTACAGAAAAATCAATTCATCATTTATCATATAGCATGTTGCAAATTCAAGAAATGAAATTAAAACTAAAAAGAAAAGAAATAAAAATTAGAAAAAAAACTTTAAAAGTGCAAGAAAATATTATGTTCGAATTAAAAGAAATCAAGTCCATTTTGCAAATAGAGTCTGCAAGTGAATTTATAATATGAGAAATGTGAAGATATAACTTAAGAAAAACGATATATATTAAGAGCTATACGTGTAGAGAATTTATTAATTGGTAAAAATGCAATATAAGTGATATTCATAGAATATTTACTTTATCTTGTCTAAAAAATATTGTTTAATAATAATAATTTTGTATTATCCTAGAAATTTTATTTATATAACACAAAAGAACATGTATTTTTCATTTAAAATATAATAAATAATGTAGACTATAATATAAATATACATAAATAATTATAGAAATTGGTTATTGGTTAAAGAACCTTTGAATTATTGCCTCGCGTATCGCCTGTCCTTTTGCACGCATATTTACAGGTAAATGAATTTCTACTTCTATACCTTCCTCATCAACATTCTCTTCTCTGTATATTTCATTATTCGGAACGTTAAACTGCTTTGCAATGTTATGCAAAACACAGGTTGCATTTATTATAAGTGCTGAAATATACATAGTAAAATATTTTAGCTTCAAATATATACAATTTTTCTGAAATAAAAATATTTTTTTTACCGGCAAATTCTGGTGAGTAATGTAAAGCTCTTTCTTTACGTAAACATCTCCATCTTCCTTTTAATATCCCTATAGTTCTTTCTACCGAGCATCGTGCTTTAATATGATTATCTGTATATAAAGCACTTGGACTTCCTAGTGGCTGATTCAATTTTGGTGTCATGAGGTATGCTAGCAGTGGATATCCAGAATCTCCTTAAAAAATCAGTTTTAAAATGAAATGTACCAAATTACATATGTATATTAATTAAATTATAACATATATACAGAGTGACGCCAAACGTTCCAGCCAGGCTTAGAGATCTTGTAGGAAATGTAATTCTGAACGAAAAATTTTCTATAAACATGGGTCAAAAAATGCTTAACTTAATTACCAGTTAATTGGTTAAAACAGGTTATATCAAGATCTATGAAACGTAATAAAAATATTTTTGCCTCATGTCGAAGAAAATTTAATACTCTACAACTTTAGTTTCCATACTTTAAAAAAAAAGCATACTTTCCTAGATATTTGAAAAAAAATGTTTTTTAAAAACATAATTTTAGAGGAAACGTGGTTTTGGATAGTAACTTCTTAAGGAAGCATTTTTCGACCTATGTTTATAGAATTCTAATTTCTTGTTCAGAATTACATTTCCTATAAGATCTCTAAGCCTCGACTGGAACGTTTGGCGCCACCCTGTATATTAACTTATAACACAACTATTAATTACACCGCTGCATTACATTTGTAATAATTAATAAATATTTATATATACATTTTTTAGAGAGTGTCCCAGATGCACACATTGCGAAACGGACATAGCCAACAACAACGTCGTGTGCTCAAAGACATTCTAGGGTCTGTAGAAATAACATATGATTAGATGTGTCCGTCTGTCACTGTGTGCATCTGGGAGTCATTCCATTTTTTTTATAAGTGAAAAAATTTTAAATTACTATAAATTAAATTACTATAAAGTCATAATGTATTATTTTATGGAATAAAATATAATTATTTCATTACTGTGTAAATAGTAATAAATTTAGTTTTTAAATAGTTACATTTTTTCAATAATTATAAATATGTATTGAAAGCATTTTTTTAAATATATTAATATACAGTGTGTCCCACAAGTCTTGCAACCCCTAAATATTTAGAAAAATACGTATTTTCGAAAAAAATGCTGAATACAAAAATTGTAGAATCTAAAAAAGTTGTATTTACTGATTTTATTAGTTGGATACTTTGGATGGCGTCATCAAGATCAGGACAAAGTCAACTACATTTTTCAAAGTCAAATACATCTTTTTAGACTGTACAACTTTTGTATTAAGCATTTTTTTCGAAAATACGTATATTTTCCAAAATATTTAGGGGTTGCAAAACTTTTGGAACATACTATATAATAATGACATTACCTATTAACCATACATTTCTTCTTCCATGTTCGTATTCATTAAACATGTGTGTACATAGTCGAGATGAGCTCCATACGCGAGCATCATGTGTACGACCACCATGACTTGCAACAACTGCTAATATCTTGCAATGGTAATCACAAACCTAATATAAGTAATAATAAGAGAAGCATGTTGAAAAAATATATATACGTATATAATAAGAAAATAATAAATTATTTCTATCTCATGCAACATTTATATGAATATACCTAACATTTATATAAGTTAAACAGTATCTGGATTCAAATAAATCCAAACATCACAATCTATGCGATTGTCGGAATTGTCAATAATCTACAGATGAAATATTTTTATTCACAATCATCACATTTAGTGAATGATATAACTTCCTGTTTATGTATAAATGTTCTCGATGTTTTCCAGGCGGCCAAATCGCTATGTGTGTTCCATCTATTGCTCCTATCACACCTGGGAAATTTGTATGAATCCAATACCTAAAACATTATTATACTTTAATTTTGTATATTACATAAATCATAATAGTTTTTTCTACAACTTTTAAATATTTTTATATATTAGTTTAGAATATCAGTTCAATAGATATATAATATATTCGACTTTTAGAATATTTACTAAATTATTCTTCTCTTTTTTCATTGTACAAAGAATAACAGAAATAAGATAATTAGTTCTATCACACAATGCAACATATCAATTGAAACACCAATTGAGTTTAATACTATATCAACGTCATAATTTCCCACTCATCAATGTAAATGCAATATAGGCTGCGTTTCGGTATTTACTGGCAGTACTGGCAGCACTGCGAGTCTGTTCCGATATAGACGGGAGTAAGCTTTCAAAGCACTTTTGTGTTCATATGACGTCATACATTTTATCGTCACTTCCTGCTTTTGTTGCTGCAGCTCGCGAGGTGAGGCAGTCGCAGTAAAAACATGGCGGAACCTGTAAACATGGAACCCATGGAGGTGTTAACTTTAATTGACGCAGAGAATAATAAGCAATTTCAAATAACAGTAAATCGAGAAGATGGGGAGAAAGCACGACGAGGTATCAATATGCCATTTATATAATTAATAACTTAAAAGAAAAGAGCATTTATATAAGAACGTTATACTATA